GTTTTTCCTAAAGAAAGGAAATTTTAAAATGCATCAGGGGTCAAGCACTTCAGATCAATTGAGGCCATGATGATCTTGAAAGCAGGAATAATAAAAAGGATATATGATGTGTGACTATTTTGGAGGCCCATGGGGCATGCTCCCAGTGTTAAGCTTTAAATGTTTCTTTTTATTTGTTCAAGCCTGCAGGACTGGAAAATTGGTAATCACTGAGGTTCAGAACAGCCTTTGTAATTTCAAAAAGGAACACCCATTTTTTAAAACCTGCAGGAATTTGTTAAGACTCTCGATGTTGATTGAACTTGGAAAGTGCACTCACAGTCCTACTACATGGTCACATCTGAGTTAATGCAGAAGATGGGGAGAGACTCTAAAGTTGAAAGAGACAAGGGAATGATTAACTAGTAGAAGAAAGAATAAATGAAGGCAGATAAAGCAGACCTGCATAAATATAAGAAAATCACAGTCTGTCACCAGGCTTGGTGTCTCAGTGGAGCAGCACACTACAATGAGACCTATTTCCCATTCTCTGAGACTTTGTGTTACTTTATTGCTTCAGAACTATTTAAAGAGAAGCTACTGTGAGACAGATACTGCTTGCATACTAAGAGTGCTGAGGCAGGTGAGATACAGGGCAGCTGTCAGAGGCCCAAAGATGGGTGCATAGCAGCCACATACAGTGTGAGCATGTAAGGAGCAGTGAGGACACATAGGAATATTTGACTCTGTCTGGATAAGGTTAAGGAAGATATTCTTATCCCAGGGTGAAAGAGCAATTCGCATCTTTAAAACTTGAACATATTCATGACTTTTTCAAATCAACAATTAGTATAAAGTGAGGACAAGATGCAGATTTTCAAGATGAGGGGAGACTATCCATCACCTTGAATTCAGGCTGATACTTCTGGTGCTGTATTTGTTTAATGTTGAATCCAGTATGTAGGGCAAGGATTTAATGTATCCTGATCCGTAAAGAGTGATTTGGGCTGGCAAACAATGAAAAAACTAACACCCCTCTTCTGACCACAGTTTGCAAGAGGAGTCCATTTTTCAATTTGTGTTATCTTAACATAGGTTAAGATAATGAGGAAATACATAAAAAATGAGGCTAATTTTGCTCTTACCAAAGCTGATTAGAAGAGGAAGTTTAGCTGCCTTTATCAGAACTGCCACTCTTATAAGAATGACAAATATATTAGAGTTAAAGGGAAGAATTATTGTGAAAAATGTATAAACAAATTTGAAAATATTTAGCAAGAGAGGAAATGCAAGGAACAAGTTAACTTTGAATCTAGCATGAATTATTGCAAAGGAAAATGTGTGACATCCTTGATGAGCATAAAGTAACTGCAGTTAAAATAACACTGTTAACAATGTTCTTTCATGATAAAAACTCTCAGGAAATACATGATATAGCCCATATATGACAAGCCCACAGCTAATATTATCCTCAATGGTGAAAGGCTAAAAACTTTTCCCTCTAAGATCAGGAACAAGACAAGGGTGCCCACTCTCACCACTCCTGTGCAACAGGGTACTAGAATTCCTAGACAGAGAGATCAGGCAATAAAGTAAATGAATAAATAAGTAAATAAATAAATGGCAGCCAAATTGGAAGGGAAGAAGTAAAATTGTCTGCAGAACACATGATCTAATACATAAAAAAACAAAAGACTCCACCAGAAATCTCTTAGAGGTAATAAATTCAGCAAAGTTGCAGGATGCAAAATCAAAATACAAAAATCAATAATATTTCTATACTACCAACAAACCATCTGAAAGAGAAATAAAGGAAACAATCCCATTTACAATATCATTAAACACATCAAAATACTAAGAAATAAATTTAACTAAGTAGGTGAGAGACCTGTAGAGAGAAAACTATAATAGTTGATGAGAGAAATTGAAGAACACACAAATAAATGGAAAGATAGCCCATGTTCATGGGTTGGAAGAATTAATATTGTCAAAATGTCCATACTTCCCAAAGCCATCTCTAGGTTCACTACAACCCCTATCAAAATTCCAATGATGTTTTTCTACACAAACAGAAAAAACAAATCCTATAATTCATGGAATCACACAAGATGCCAAAGAGCCAAAGCAAGCTTGAGCAAGAAAAACAAAACTAGTCATGCCACTCCCTGGTATTCAAATTATATTACAAAACTATAGTAATCAAAACAGTATAGTGCTGGCATAAAAGCAGGCACATAGACCAATGGAACAGAATCATGAGCCCTGAAATAAACCCACAGGTACACAGTTAAGCAGTATTTGACTCCATAGGGAAAAGAGAGCATCTGCAATAAATAGTGTTGGGAGTATTGGCTGTTTACACGCGAAAGAATGAAACTGGACTCCCATCTTACACTACTCACAAAAATTAACTCAAAATGGACTAAAGACTTAAACATAAGACCTGATGCTCTAAAATTCCTGGGAAAAAAAACCATAGGGAAAAATCTCCCTGACATTGTTTTTTTAAGTCATTAATCCATTTTGGGTGCCTTTCTGTGTGGTTATTTGAAACCCAGGCTCCTTCTGTTTTGTGGCCCCACCAGCCCCTATAGCCTCAGAACTTTGCTGTATCTAGTGCTTCCAGTCAGCAGATAGGGACAAAGGGAGTATAGAGGGTCGTGTGGTAGCTTTTATGAGACGGGCAACATTGAAAGACAAATGTCACTTAGGGAAGCCTGCTATATTCCATTGGACAGAACTTGATCATGTGGCCACATCTAACTACAAAAGAGACTGGGATATGCAGTCCGTCTGTATGCCCAGGAGGCAGAGGAAACAAGGTTTGATGACTACATCATACTCTTTATTACAGTTCAATAAATAGTTGCTGAAAGCTTATGATGTGACAAGCTCTGGGCATCCTGCTGGGACCCAAGATGAACAAGACAGACTCCCTGCCTTTAAGGCACCGATGGATAATTTCACAATGTGGTAAAAGCATTGATCATAGCAAGCACAGGATACATGAAAATGTAGAGGACAATACTTAGCCCAGACTGGAGAAGTCTTGTAAGGCCTTCTGGTGGATAAAACTCTGGTGCTAAGCCTTGAGGATGGGTAGAAAAGCAGAAGAAAGGGAGTGAAGGTAGGTATTTTTGGCAAAAGCAACAATCAGAATAAAGTGCAGAAGGGGGCTATAAGCAATTCAATATTGTTAGAGCAAAAGGAATGGGCATGGAAGGGCAGGAGATGAAGCTACAGAGGCCTGCCATGGGGAGCCTGGTATGCTATCTAGAGGCATTCGGACATTTTCAATAAGCAACCAGAAGAAACAGGGGTAGGGGGGTGGCTCAAAAGAGGGATGGACATGTGAGTAGGTCACTTTTGTATTCAGGATGGCTTTGAGGGAGGCAAAACTTAAGAGAACAATTTGGAAGTTTTTCCAGTTGCCCAGGCAGGAGAATAATAAGGGCTTGAACTAGGTTGTAAAGGAAGGGTTGATGCAAGAAGTACAGATAACATAAAATTGGGAGGATTTGCTAATTGCTTACATGTGAAGGTTCAAGGAAAAGAAAGAGCGTGGAATCACTCCCAGGCTTCTGACTTGGGTAACCCTATACTTGTCTTATCATGCACTAACAGAAATGCACACCTACAACAAATACATGTAGAGCTGTAGGGCTAAGAGGTGAGTGCAGTTTGAGGCACTGTACAGTTATGTATTGTGTAACAAAGCACCTCAAAACTTAGTGGCATAAAAAAAACCACCAGTATATCGTGCTTATTGATTCTGTAGGCCAAGTAGTTGAACAGGACTCAGTAAGGATTACTTAGGTCTATTCCACAATGTCTGGGGCTTTGGCTTGGAAGAGTCGTATAGCTGGAATCACATGGGGATTTCTTCACTCCCATGCTGGGGCCTTGATGGGAATGAATGGAAGCTTGAGTTCAGCATCCTAGCCTCTACCTACCAGATGCCAATGGCATCCACACACTCACTTGTGATAAATGAAATGACTCCCTGGCATTGCCAGTATTTCCTGTAGGATAACTGTCTTCTATGGTTGAGGCCAGGTGGGCTGCATGTGAGTATGAAATTTAGCCAGATTTGGCAAGAGACATTATAAATCACCAGCATGTAAGGGTTATGAGAGTCATTGCAACATATATTTTCAGGATCTGTGGAATGAGATCAGTGGGTCAAAGTTAGAAGGATAGACTCATTGAAGAGGATGAGGAAAAGAGAACTAAAAGTCACAAGAAATAGCAGGAAAACACAAGGAAGACAGGAAAAAGTGATGAGTGGCTGTTGTTAGTGTCTGCCTAGCACTTTATTTCTATTTTCTTCTTAGCCAAACTCACCCGCTGGGTCACAATGGCTGCTCTGTGGAAGGGCACACTACACAAGTTGGGCCAAGTAGTCCTTCCCTGTGATTTTACATTTTGCACCTTTAAACAAGATGTTTCTTTCCTCTGTCCTTAGGCAACAATGATGCAAATCCAGAAGTGCCTATACATGCCCTGCCAATGACAAAGGTTCAGCCAAGTGGGTTTATATGTGCCCAGTGGATAATGATCACAGTACCACAGAGCAGAAGTGGCTCTTAAGGACAGCTGGTGGGAGCTTGCTAAGCATCTACACTGCAAACATCTTTTCAGATATTTAACTGTCAACCAATACTTTTCTGTGGGGCCATGGAAGAACAGGGGCGGTGCAACAAAAGTGTTCCTTCCATGCTGTCTTCTGAAACCATGCCCCCCACACACACACATCCTTGTGAGTTCCATGGTTGCTTGATCAGTAGCAAGCAATCCAACAAATTTTACTTGTACAAGAGTGTTTTAATTTCAACTGCAGTGAAGAAAATGAGATAGGCAACAGAGAGAAGCAGAGATGAGAGCTAGGAAAGACTGACCTTTTGACAGTATTTGAGTCCCTGAACCCAGTCACCCCTGAAGCCAGAGCTCACTCTGCTCTTCCTGGTTTTGTGAAATCAGTAAATGCTCCGAATCTGACTATCCTTCTGTTGGAAATGCAGGTATCCTAACACAGAAACTGGAACAAGGAGTGCGTGACAGACCTGAAATGTGGCACTGCTAGAGTCCGTGCAGGAAAGGCCACAGTGGAGGTGTCCGGATCATTCACTGAAAAGCTGGAATCCTTGGTATATGAAAGTGGAACACGTGGGTTAAACTGTTACCTACTATAGTATCTAGGTACCTAACTATTTTGTGCTTCAGGCCAAGTCCCTATTATCCTAAAATTGAAAACTTCATGGACTTGGTAGAAAAGCATGAGGATACTAGAGTGAGAGCTGGGCAAGCCAGGTATCCCAGAGTCATCCCCAACACCTCCACCCCTGTACAGTCCCCACGGCCCTGCCTAACAAGGGTCATATCCCTCCCCATTTTGGGTGCACGCTGGGATGAGGGCAGCTCCCCATTGTTTCACTTTTCTAAAAGACAGAGACCAAGAGAGATGATGCTAATCTAAAGCCCAGGGCATCTTGCTATCCTGAGGGACAGTGACTATGGTGGGTGTGGGGGGGACTCAATAATATGGGTGAATTTAGTGACCACAATGTTGCTTATGTGGAATGTTCATAAGATTGAATATCAATGATACCTTAATAAAAAAAATAATAATAATAATCTAAAGCCCAGGGGAATGGAATGGTTCCTGCAAAGGGACTGAAATCACAATGGTGAGAACCCATATTCAGAGACTCTGATTTAACAAGATTTGGGACATTTGTTACTACCAATAAGGCCACCACAAATGACAGACAGGCCAGCTACCAGGGGTTTTGGGAAAACTGTATTGTCCCCTTGGCAAACAGATTTGTGATGTTCACTTCTCAGGACAGCCCTCCAAGCCCCTATCACAGAGTGGTGGGCTGCTAAAGCAGCAAAGTCTCCCAACCATCCTCTCAGGTAGGGCGATGAAGCCAATGGACAGCAAAGATCCTCCCAATAGGAAGGCTGTAGAGGATTCAGGCAGGCTGATCAGGGAACTTACTGCATGCCAAGAAAAGGTATCCACCAGACAGATAGAACTCACAACTCCCGTCTGTCTATCAGGCTGGAGGATGTCGCTTTTTCCTCTGCAAACCGTTTCTAAATGGGGCACATTCAAGCTTGCCTCTCTTCCTTTCTACCAACTTGCCCTCCATATGGAGCCACCATCTTATCTTCAGCCTTAGGTAAGTCTTCTATTTCTCTGCTTAACAATCACCCAACTATAGTGTAACCATAGCATACAATATACAGAAAATGAAAAGCCCCTAATTACACTAAAGGCTATTTCTCCATTCTCTTCTCCATTTCTCCCAATTCTGCAGTTATTTGAAGGGTTTGGCAAAAACCATATCTAAATGTATACAAGCATTGTCATTTAAGGTAAGTATAACCATGGAGACAAGACACAAAAAAGATTTTATGTAAAATTTATTTTTTATCCCATCCTAATTTGGATTTTATTTTCACCTCCCATTCTGATTCTTTTCTTAGAAATCCAAATTTTTTTTAACAAAATGTTTAAAATCGCGAATATCTAGCATCGTAACAAAATTTCTTCTCTCCAAAAGGGGGGAAAACACAGCTGTAATTCTTACACAGGATTTTCAAATCTGCATGTTAATGTATACTTTATAGCCTATTTAAAATAAAACCATCATCCTTTAAGGTTATTGACATTTTCTAGTTCACTGACACATCTCCCATAATACATTAATTCTATTCATTTTCATGAATGAGGTGGGGATTATACTAAAAAATAGGATTTTTATCCCTGAGGTGCCAGTTAAAATGGACGAGGTTACCACTGCAACACAAGTTTAAAAAAATCAGCCTTAAATAATACACATGGGTCATGCTCTCTGGGTCTGAATCACCTCCACAGCATGGAGTCATTTCCTGGGTTAACTCCACCCTGGTATTCTGAGCCCTCATGCTATGATAATCTTTCCTTTTGTAAAGGAATAACACATAGCAATGAAGTTCGCAGAAATTTCTGAGATCCTCAGGAATCAAGAGAAACATCAGTCCTGTTTCTCTAATCTCCATCCACATTGTTGGAGAGGGTTTCTCAGCACCATTCCAAGCCCTGAAACGTAGGTGAGTAGATGCGGTTTTAATACTTTGCACCAATTTAGTCGCCCGGAGGAACCTGTGCTGTGGGCAGGAGCACATGTGTGAGCTGCGCGTCTAGGCCATGGGTGCAGAACCGTGTCCAGCTGTGGGCGGCAGCCCACGGACCTTCCCTGGCTCGCTGCTCTGCCCTAGTAGTAGCGGTTCAGGCTCCTGGCACAGGGGCCTTCAGCGTGGATGTTCATCCAGATCTCCCTGATGATGCGTTCCCGCTCCTCCAGCCTCTGGGCGCGCTGCAGTTCCTCCGCCGATGTGAAGACGTTCTTGTTCAAAGTCCTCTCGAAGCGGCGGTGTCTCCTGACCGACAGGTCGGATGCCGTGTCCAGGCTGCCATCCTCGCTGTCGCTGCTGTCACTGCTGCTCTCCGGCTCCTGCAGGACCTTCTTCCGGGGATGCCGCCGACAGTCTGTGTGGCACGAGATCCTCATTACCAAGGCAGCCAGGGTGAGGACCAGCCCGACGCACACGCCGCAAACAAAGTACAGAGCTGCTCGCTCTGGGTTCTCTGCAGGAGGAGGAAGAGGAAGAGAGCATTGAAAGATGCTGCCTCCATAAGCAGACAGCAAACGTGACTACAGCCCGCATTGCACGCCTCTCACCAGACCCCAAAGCTGTGGCGGTTACAAATAGGGCCTCCCCGTGGGGCAAACTGCATCATTTATTCAAAATATAATATAATATTGCATGGACCAGGGTCCAAGGTGAACGGGATTGTTTTACTATTCTTGCAACTTTAAATCTGAAATTATTTCAGAATGAAAAGTTAAAAGAAAGAAAAATATTATTTAGCACCTACATCAAGCAAGCAGCTGTGCTTAGGATGGCATTTAAGAGCTCTCTAAAGCCTAACTTCACCAACATCAGAAAAATCTTTGCTTCTGCATTTGCTCCAGCAATCCCTCAAATAATCTCTTCATCACACTTGTAGGTAGCTGCAGCATTTTTCTTAATGTTTAAATTTTTACTGAAGTATTGATCACAATCTCATATTGGTTTCAAGTATACCACACAGTGGTTCAACAGTTACCCATATTATTAAATCCTCACCCCCTCTAGTGCAGTTACTATCTGTCAACATAGGAACATGTTACAGAATCATTGTGCAGCTTCTTCCTTCCTTCTTCCCACCCTTCCTTTTTTGACAACAAATGTATAAAAAAAATCAAGGACAAAAATCTCCTTTATTCTAATATACCATCACAGGCCTAGTCAACAAATGTAGGCAGCTTTTAAGGTGCCGCCACCTCTTGGTATTCAGGCTTTTATGCAAGTTCCTCTCTTTGAGGACTGAAACTAGTAGGCTGGACCCAGTGACTCACTTCTAACAAACAGACATGGCAAAAGTGATGGATGAGTCTAAGATTAGATTATGTAAGACTTCCAACTTGCTAATGCTCCTCTCTGGCTTCTCACTTGTTCTCTCTGATGAAGCTAGCTGCCGTGTTGTGAGTTGCTCTACAGAGAGGCCTGTATATCCAGGAACAACGGGTAGCCTCTGGCTAACAGCCTGCAAAAACCAAACCATGCCAACAGCCATGTGAGTGAGTTTGGAATTGAATCAGTCCCAGGTGGAGCCTTGCGGTGTCCATAGCCCTGGCCTTGCAGCAATCTTGTGGGAGACCTTGAACCAGAGAACCCAGCTGAGCCGATTCTAGATCCTGACCCCCAGAAACTGAGAAATAATAGATGTGTGCTGCTTTAAGTCACTAAATTATGAGGTAATTTCCTATGCAGCAATAGGTAACCTGTATAAGCATAGATTGAAAGATTTGGAATGACCTCATCAGGTTAATTTGTCAGGGAGGAATTTGAGCTCTTCCTTGGTGAGAGAAGAAAATAACTACTCTGTTGATGAGCAGTATGCTCAGTGGATCTTGTGATGATACATGCATGATGTGCTTAACAGAATGAGAGCCTTTGGGGAAGCAGCTTTCCCTTTCTAGCTAAGCATCAGAACAAAGCAACATGCCTGGTCTTGAGTCACAGGGCACAGTCAATCCGAACAGACCCAAGATTGACATCAGCAAATCAATTTTCCATAATCTACATTCACTTGTATGTATGAATCAAAATATATATTGTTTTGTGGGTTTTTAAAGATTGTAAGTGGGATCATATCTGACACATATTTGCTTTGTAAAGTAAAGAATTGTTTCTTAGATTTCTAAATGTCAACAGCATCCTTTTTGATGGCTGTGTAGTGTTCTCTGGTACAGACACATCAAAGTTATATAACCATTTCCTTATTGATAGCATATAAATCGTTGACAATTTTTCACTATTACAATCAACATCAGAGTCAATGTCCTTGTGTCCCTGTAAACATTTCTTTATGCACATGCAGAATTATTTCTAAAGGCTATTCATCTAGGAATAGAAGAGCTGCATCAAAGGACATAGGCACTCTGAAGTTTTATGCATTCTAAATTGAACCCCAAAAAGGTTCTTTCAGTCTGAACACAGCCTCCTGAACGCATGTATTTATACTCCATCCTGTTCTCTGAAACCCCCAAATGAGAGGGAGTTTCCTGGGGCTCACTAGGTCCTGAAGAGGAGACTCAGGGCTGATTTTCACAACATAATTTATGTGGTTTCTCTTCATCATTCTTCTGCAAAAATCAAAACTAGTTCTATCATGGTTGTTTTTTTCTCTTCTCTGCTCCAGGTCACTTCCTCTTGGCCAGTGATCCACCCCGGTCTTGACCAGATTCAGACAGCTGTTAATTGCCCAGGAAGCAAAGTGGGGAGGGCCATTGTCGGTTGTTATCCCTCAATAAATAAAAATAAACACATTGCTGTATCTTGCTTCCTGCAGGGTCATTGTTTTCATGGGCAGGAAGAGGCCCTGTGTGGAGGTCCTGGGGCTAATTTCATTTGCACCCTCAGAGGTCAGATCATGCCCAGCAGACTGCTGGAGAAAAAAGCAACATGGCGCTGGCCAGCTCAGCTGGTCTCCGGGCAAGTCTTCCCCTGCCTGGACTTCCTTGCTGCCCCAGAGCTTGCAATCCCTTGATTGGAAAGGAAAATGTTTTAAAAATAAGATTTAAAGAGAATAGTGGGGTTTGTATAGAATCGGGGAGTATTCAGCATAATCTCTTCTCTGATCTCTTAAGGCATTGCAAGCAAGGATGTCTCTCTGTGGGAATCTGCCCACCCTCACTGGAAAAGGGAGATTCCTGCTAACACTTCTGCCTGCTCTGAAACGCTGGAGGCAGCTTCCTTCTCCTTCCATCACCAGGAGTTCTTCCTCAGAAGGAGTATTAGACAATCACTGTCTCCACTAGGCTGACTCTGGTGTATAATTCTCTGCTTTCACCTCTGTCTTCCCCCACCCTCCCCTCCAGGCACCCAGAAGAGCTTCCCTTCCCTTGCCCACCACCCTAATCCACCCCACTCACCTTTCCTCACCTGCGGAAAAGTGGGCAAGAGCCACTGTCCTAAAGCCTGAGGACTCAAGGGGAGCTAGGCAGAAAGCCCTGACACATTCCCTGATCTGGCTTAACCACTGCTGAAGTTGATACTGTATTCTGATGCTTTACTGGCTCCTGGAGCCTGGAAGGGAGGGTGTGAGTCATCAGCCCCTCCAATCTAGGCAGCACTTCATGCAGTTGTATTATAATAAGTTATCTGTTATCTTTCCCACACAGCACTGAGAAATTTGAGGGCAGAATCTGATTTACTTTGGATTTCCAGAGCACGTAGCACATGCCTTGCTCATGATGTGGATCTCACAAATATGGAATTAAATCTTGAATACACAGTTCCTCAAAGTCCAGTTAATAAGTGTATTACATGTGAATAAATGTTTCTAGATGTATGTATGCATATATGTATGTGTGTACATATAAATATGTATGTGTGTATGTATAATATCTGTAATAGTAAAACATTAAAAGAATAGAGGATCGAAAATATTTATAAAATCACCGTAATTTCACACCCTGAATGTAAACTACACACTATGTAGTGTAGTGAAGTAAATTTTCTTCTGTTCTTCATTTCTCTCATCCAAATATGTACATGTTTACTGACATTGACTTGGTTATAGTCAGAGTATATGTACAATTTATATATTCTAATCTGGATATACTTTTTTGTTTGCTTTTAAGAGTTTATTTTTTTATAGCAGTTTTAGGTTCTCAGAAAAACTAAGAGACAAGTTCAGAGAATCCCCCCCACAAACAACACATGTATACCTCCCCCATTATGACATCCCTATCGTCCACCAGAGGGGCACATTTATCACTATTGATGAACCAATACTGATACATCATAATCACCCAAGGTCCATAGTTTACATTGAAATGTTATACATTCTATGGGTTTGGACAAATGTGTAATGAATCCATCCCTACAGCATTGCACATAGAGTTCTTAGTGTCCTAAAAATCCTCTGTGCTCTGCCTATTCACCCCTCCCCCGAGGACGCACATATTATAAAATGTATAACATCTTCCTGTATTGCTGCCCCATGGTCTTCCCCTCAGTCATGCCTAACAATGGCCACGTAGTATCTATCCAGTGAATGCACCACAGGCTACAAAAATGGTCTCCTACCTTTGGATATCTAGGTTGTTGTAGATTTCTTTTTATTAAAAATAATGTTGGAAGATATGTATGAGAAGGTTCTACAATAGTATTTTCAAACTCTTGGAGTTTTGACAATCCAATAGATGAAAAACAGTATCTAAATGTTTTTTAATTTCTGTTATACTTGTTTCATTTGTTGTCTTAGAATGGATGCCCAGAAAGGAATCTTTGTGTCAAAGGGGATATGTATTTTTTATCTCAATACACATTGCCAAGTGGCTTTTTAAAAGTGGTACATTAATTTTTTAGCTCTGTATGAAAGTACCATTTTCAGCAAGCCTTCTCCAGGATGGGATATTCCAACTGTTACAAGTTTTTCAAATTTTATAGGTCAATAGTGGTTATTTATTCCACAAAAAATTTACCGTAAGCCAACAGTGCCTTCAGGGCTAGAGACACAAAAGTTCTGAGCCCTCATGGGATTCCAATATAAAAGGGACTAAAACAGAAACTACCATACATTCTCTAATCTCCAAATGTGTTATGGTAGGTTAGGCTACATCACTGCTGACAGCCTACCTTGTGCATGCCAGCCTCACAGGAAAAGTGATTCAAATTCTGGCTAACTACATCCAGTCTACACCACTGTACTTGCAATTACATATTCAAAGAGTACTGGTTAAAGTGAAAAAATAAATGACGCCCTCAAACTTCTGCAATGAAAAAAATTACTATAAGCAAAGCCAAAAGACAAATGCCAAGTGAGGAAAATATGTGAAATATGCAACAGACAAAGGGTTAATATATAAAGAGCACTTAGAGCATTGAGAGGAAGACCAACAACCATAAAGAACATGGTCAAAAGATATAAGCAGTTCACAGTAAAAGAAATACAAATGGCTCTTAAACATATGAAAAGATGCTCACCAAAAGCAGGGGTTGGCAGGTCATGGCTCACAAACCAAACCTGGCCACCACCTGCTTTGTTCCTGGCATATAACCATGCCCATTCATTTATGTTTTGTCTAGTCTGCTTTCATGCTACAGTGCAGAGCTGAACAGTTAGAACAGTGACTGCATGGCCCACAGAGTCAAAATTTTTTACTATCTGACCCTTTCCAGAACAAGTTTGCTGACCCATGACCTAGTGAAACAGAAATTAAATGACATTTGGATACTGTTTTTCATCTATCAGATTGTCAAAAATCCAAGAGTTTAAAAATACTGTTGTAGGACCTTCTCATACATATTATAAAGAATAAATCAGTTATGGCCATTTGGTGATACTTACCTTAATAATTTATAAACACTTTGATCCAGCAACTTGATTTTTGGAACTTTATTCTACAAATGCACTTGACTATGTATGTATGCCACAGTTTATTGCAATTCTGTTGCCCTGTTTGAAAAGATTTGAGCTATTCAGTGGCCACCAATAAAGGTTAGGTTAAACTATGGTTCATCTAAGGAGTAGTAGATAATTTTCTAAGAGAATGGGGAAAAGATGTCTATACCCCAATATGACATATCTTCATGATATATTGTTCCATGAAAAAAGCAAAGTATAAGACAGTATGTATGCTATGATTCCTGTGTAAAAGGGGGAAGAATGAAACTGTGTTCACATTATCTTACACCTGCACAAAGAACCCTGGAAGGATGCAGAGAAACCTTGTGATGGGTAAAACTTGGGGACTGGACAGAGAGGGCAGCGAGGACAGAGAGAACTCTATGACTTCTCATTATTCATCTTTTCATGTTGTTTTGATTGCTGAGCTGTGTTCACTCATTCACTGATTCACTGAGCATCCAATAGATGCCAGGCACTATTCTAGGAGGTGAAGATATAGCAGTCAACAAAAGACACAAAAAATATCTGTGCTACTGGGAGCTTATACTCTAGCAGGGAGACAAATAAGAAACAAGATAAATAGATAAATAAAGTAGGTATGTTAGATGGTATAAGGTGATAGGGAGACAACAGAAAAAATAGGATGGAAGACTTGAAGTGTCACAAGTACACTGGGGGTAGGGAGGTAGAGTGCCCAGAGGGAATCTCATTGAGAAGGTGATTTTTAAGGAAAAATCTAAAGGAAATAGAAGAGTGAGGAGGATAACACATTATTCAAAACATTACATTAAAGAACAATCATTCCATTTAATCTTTCTAACAACCCTATTAGAAGTTGTAAATTATTATATTATTATCCCAAGGGGCTGCTTGAAAACCATGGTAACAGAAATATTAACTCCAGTCCAAGATTTGAGAGAGTTCTGGAGACTAGGAGGGAGGAGGATGGTCTAGGATGAAGGAAGAATTCTTGTTAAAGGAAATGACTGCATAGGCAAAGAGATGAGAAAAGGCCCAGCAACTGGTTTAGAAAAACGGGAGTGAGATCTTGATCAGGAAGGTCTCATACTAAATGAGAGCATGGAGAAGTCAAGGTCAGTAACTAAAAGCCCTGGAAAGCCACATAAGAAACTGCAGATTGGGAACCTCACTATCCACACACCCCTTTTTCTTTGTCTTTATTCTAGAGTATGTTTGCTCAACCTCAGCATTGTTGGCATCTTGGACCAATTAATTCTTTGTAGTGGAGGATTATCCTGTATATTGTAGGATGTTTCTTCTCCCACTAGATGCCAGTAGCAGTCCCCCTGCCTAAGCTGTTACAACCAAATATGTCTCCAGACATTACCTGAAGTCCCCTGTAGGGCAAAATCACCCCTGGTTTATGAACCATTGATCTAGAGGCTGAAAAACTTAAAATTCTTATTTTTCCAGCCTGCCTTGTAGCTAGAGATGGCCATATGACACAGTTGTAGTTTTTTTTGGTATCATTAATGACACAGTTTTGACCAAAAAAATATGAGAGGAGATCTACTGGAATCTCCTTCCTTTTTAAGCCTCCAAGAATGAGGGCAAGAGCAATGGCAGCCACTCCGTAGCCATGTGATCACAAAAGAAAGCATATGAGAATCACGAGATGTTGGCCCGTACATTTTTGAGCCAACAGGTGTTTAAGCCATCAAGTGAGGTTTTCTATTATTTGCAGATAAAAGCAGTCCTGTTAAACCAGACAAAAGTGTCTGGGTTTTATCCCAGAGATAATGAAGATTCATTAATGGATTCTAAAAAATATACAGAATTACATCATCATACCTGTATGTTAGAAAAATCATTCTGCTATAAAACACAGACCATGAAGCAAGACTGGAAGCAGGTAGACCATGCACAATGCCATTAAGCCAGTGCAGACAAAAACACAATGAGGCTTGGACCAACTCTGTGGTGGTGAGAATGAAGTGGAGGGGACATGTTTGAGGGACATTGAGAGGCAAAATGGTCTGCCCCTAAGCAATTGCATATGGGTAGTGAAGAAAATGCATCAAAGGTTCAGAGTCATATTTCTGGGAGTACGTGATGCCCTAGATGGTACACAAAAGGAGGAGCATATTTAAAGAGAAGGAAAAATTTTAAATTCCAATAAGATAACATTAGTTACAAAGTAACATCAATGAGGTATAGAATATTTAAAAATATAGTAAAGCAAAATAAAATTAAAAATACACAGAGATACATTCATACACTTCTTGCATCCAGATACAATTTCAATAAAATGTAGCTATATATGCATGTGAGTATACACTCATAAATGGGATTAGGTTGCATATGCTGTAAATTAACAGGCTTTATTCACTTGACACATCATAAATATATTTCTACTTCAATTAATATTCAATTATTTTTTTCTGTGTTTTACTATTATAAACAGTTCTGAGATTAATTGTCATCATAGTAAAAATTTTGCCCAAATCTCTACTTATTTTCTTAGGATAAATTCCTAGATGTAGAATGGCTGACTAAATGGTATATGTGTTTTTAAGGTGTTTGTTTTTGGGATTTTTTCCTGCAGATGTTCCCAAATCATTGTCTAGGGAGACTGTAGCACTTTACAATCCCAAAGCACAGTGTGTGGGTGCTCACATCCCCACAATTTCTCCAAAACAGAAGTCTTATACTTAATCATTCAAACTTTCGAGATTTTTATAAGAATGGTAATCTCGTTGTTTTGATTTTGCATTTAATTGCTTAAAAATTAGCTGCTTATGTGTTACAAGCAATTTGCATTTTTTCCTTCAGTAAACTGCTTATTCTTGTCCTTTGTCCACTTTTCTTTGGGGCACTTACATTTTATTGATTTGTGAGATCTCTTTAATAAACTTTAACCCTTCTTTGTTAATGTTACATCTTTTTCCTTTGTTTGCATTTACCATTTAACATTCTGATAAACAGATATTTTAAATTATTGGCATTGTCAAGTTTTGAAATGGTTATTGTGGAGAATGAGAACATGAGGTTTCCA